TTTTTGCTTCACACATGTTTCTGAAAGGCACCTGAGGCTGTGTTATTAGGAGGAATTTTAAGTAGAGAAGCACTATTTGACAGTGTTATTACATTTTTTGGGGGGGGAGGGGGGGTCATAGGTCTGCTTAGTTTCCACTGTTATCTGCATGTTACTCTGCCGAGTTTGATGTACCTAGAGCTTTCATTTCTTTGAGCTTGTACTTTGTGTAGGCTCATTTCTATTGCAAGCTATATATGCTTTTTTTAATATTAGTTCTGGGGGGACAAAGTTTGAACTACTGTGTGAACAAGTTGCTTAGTTGCGTTTTATATATCATGACATCGGGCCCTGTTGTTTAGTAGGAACTGTTGTAAATGAAATTTCTTGCATTAGCTGGATCAAACTTTTACTTCTAGAGCTCAATGTTTAGGTTAATACCTCCTTTGGCCATTCTGGCACCACATATTTCAAGTGTCGCTGTTTACAAGCAAGTCTGTTACTTTTTGAGGCTATCAAACCAAAACACTTCATAAAACTTCTTGAACACATCTTCCACCATTTTTTTCCACACATTTGGGCAAGCTTCACGAAGGCTTTTTGCATGTTACTGTGGGATGTTACAAGGTGGAATGTGATTGGTTAATTAGAGCTGAGGTCACTGAACTCAATCTCTCACTCGGGCTCGCAGACGTTATTTTTGGCAGAACCAAATGACAGCTGGAAATGTGTCTGTGTTCACAGGCTATAAAATATGATACAATCCAAATTTACAGTTTGGCTAATGCTTGCTGGTTTGTAACTTTGTGCCTTGTTCTTCAGTTAAATCTCCTGGGTTGAGAAAGAAATCTCTAAACAGTGGTACAAATCTATTGGTTGCCAATCAATCCAGACTCAGTACAAGGTGGAGCACTAATCAGAGTGAAAATTTGGAGGCCTGGATTGAACCAGTTCTCCACTGAAGAAATAATGTTTTGGCCTTTTAGCCCCCCTGCCCCCAGCCCCTGTTTTGCCAAAAAGATGCACCTGCAATGGATTGGCCTCTGGTAACCTGTGGTAGAGGACTCTATGTTATCCCCCTCATATAGATTAGCACTACTGCCCTCTCACTGCATGCAGCAGAAGTCATACATTTTGAGCATATATAAGTGGCATTGATGAGCAAGTCAACAGCATAAAATTAATGGCAACAAAGTAAAATAAATGAAGTTTTTTCCTTTTTTGACTAGTTTATTTGCCATCCTTTCAATCTGTCAAAAAAATCAAACCATTCATGTACTTGGTTTGATATGTTGTGCCAGAAAAAAAAAATTCATACCCCTTTCACAGAAGGTTTTTTAGTTGGTCATAAAATCAGTGAGGGGGTGGGGACACTTGTTATCAAGATTTTATGGTCTTTACCAAATGCCCCAAGGATTTCATTTTGTCCTTTACACCAGCCATGACCACCCTCTATTACGTCTAGCCTGAGTCACAGACAGTCTCCATCGCTAGATTCTGTGACACATCTGGCAGCACAGCAGGCCAGTACACCACTGGTACATCCCCTAGAATCCACACTGCTTTGCATTTTCTTTCGCCATTGAAAGTCATTCCTTGCTTTTGCTTGACAGGAAGCAGAAGATGAGTTTAGATGCATTAGCGAAGAGGATTCTTGGTGTCACAATGGACAAGTCTTGGAGAATTCGCTGTAGCAATTGGGAAGCAGAGCAGTTTGACAGAAGGCAGATTGAATATGCCATGAATGATGCCGTAGTTGCAAGTCACATATTTCTTAGCCTGGCAAAAGCAAAGGTAGAGAAGAGAAAAGTGCTTAGAACTGCTTGTATCTCTGAGGATTCCACAAGTGAGGAAAAAAATGTCAGTGGACATTTAGGAGCTGGTTTGATTCAGGATCAGATCAGCACTAAACTGCCTGCCAACAATTCTTCAGGAAATAACATTACAGGTACGTATCACCCAACTTCATTTGAAGAAGAACCTGACATCGAACATTCCAGAAGAACAATTGATGACCTTGAATTTGAAGTTACAGAAGATCAGGAAAAGTTCATAGAAAACAGAAGTCATGGGGACAAGAACAACATTAACTTTGTTAATAAAAGAGCAAGCTCTTCGGCTGTGCAAGACAGTGGTTCTCAAACCTGTGGCAAAATCTTACAAAGTGCTGAAAATTCTAATGGTCACGAGTTTGATGTGGAATGTGAAGTTTATAATATCATAGCAGATCTAAGTAAGTGGGAGTCAGGACATGACGGGAAAGAAGGCTATCTTGTTAGAGAAGAGGTTGTTGATCTTCTACAAGACTCATTCTTTTGTCAAAGAGCAAGCTCTCTTTGCCAGGGAGTCATTGATCTTGCATTCAAGGATAAGAAAGGACCAGTCATGGTCATAGAAAAAGACAACAAGAAAGAGGATCCTGGAGAGATTTTGGATAGAAAACCTTACAAGAGAGGCACTATAAGAAAGTCGCCTCTTTACATGAACTGCATGCTGGCCGCCCCTGATGGATCAAGGTTGTGCACACTGGATCGTAAGAAGGCAGACTGGTATATTGAAAAAGGAATTGGTAGGTCAATAGCGACTTTGTTTTGTCTCAATTGAATGTTTAAGATCTACCAACTATTGTTCAAATCAGTATTATTTAACTACTGTGTACTCCTGGTTTTCAAACCCTCAACTTTTTTAACCTCCCTAATTTTCCTAAGACGTTTCTCCCTTTGGCCAAAAGAAAGGAGAAATGCATGATCCGTTTATTCAAACCTCCTGCTTTTTAGACCAATTTCCATGTCCTTAGCTGGCTCAAAACATCGGGATTCTGCTGTGTTAGTTGACAAACTAAGGTTTCTAGGCTTAACTAGGACCATATTTCTTATTATTTACATGCTTGATTTTACAGCAAGGCTAGAAGAAGTTGGCTTAGTCAGTACGGTTAACTTGTTGAGGATATAGCTTTTTTGTTGAGCCCTAACATTTTCCTCCAGTTTCAATGATCAGGGGCACCTGATGATGTTTTTCTCTCAAATCCTTTAATATGCTGTTTTAGGCCATCTGGAGGCTTTTATAGCGCTATAGGTTAATTTTAGGCTTCACTATAAGATTTTTATCTGTTCATTCATCCTATGGGGCGTTATCGAGTTTTCCAATTTAAATGACGGATTTTTTTTTCTTTTCCCGAAAACCCAACATGCAGGTCTTATTGCCTTTCAGAAAATCATAGCTGACTTTTTTTGGTTCTCAAAATGACCACAATGAGATTTTTATTAATTTAAAAATCAACAGGCCTTCTCATATCACAAAAGTTCTAGATGACAATTCTCTTTAGAAAAATCGGTGGGGATTAAAGGTCGTCTAAACAGGAGTCCCTCTTTCGCTTAGTCTGTCGAGCGAGGCCGTAAAGGATTTCACGCGGCCAGTTTTTCGTGGCGGTTTATTTATGGTCACGCTCGATGGACTAAGCGAAAGAGGGACTACTCGTAGTCTATCCAAACAGATGATTTACCAAAACGATCTGTTAGATGCCCCTAAATGACCAACAAAAGGCAGAGGCTCTTTTGAAGACTTTCTCCGAATTTTTGTACTGTGTATGTTTTGAAACTTGTCATTTATCAACATTTTGTATCACAGAAGGTCTTTACATGTATTTTATTTGCTACAGTCGAAACTCTTTAATACGGACACCGGAGGGACAGTTCGCTGACTGTCTGTACTATGGGGGTCTCAGCTGGAGGCAGAGAATGATAGAATATGTATGAATTATAGTTCATCTGGAGCCAAGTGTAGCTAAGTGTATTAAATGTAACATTAATCTTATTTTCCGAAGGGAAACTGACAGGCCTTGAACCCTATACAGTCCAACTGAAGTTTGAACCCTCGGGACGGCCAGGAACAGAAGATTCCTACTACCTGAATTTCAAAGATAACATTTGTGTGGTTTGTGGAAGCGATCAGAGCTACATGAGGAAGAACATTGTCCCTCACGACTACAGGCGATATTTTCCTCTGGTCATGAAAGATCATCACTCCCACGATATCCTGCTCATGTGCCCGAAGTGTCATCGACAGTCCTCCTATTATGATGACAAGCTACGGAGCGAACTGGCAAACAAGTACAATGCACCGCTTGGTAAGGCCTACGTGTAGTTCATACTATCAACGGCATAATTTAAATGATCGCTCATGTCCACACAATGTGAACCTAGACATAAAAGTATAAGGAAAAGATCGATTTTTATTCCTTGTGTCCTTAAGCCTGGTTCACACCAGCGACATAACGACATAACGACATAAGGAGAAGATCAGTTTTATCTTTTTATCTTTTTTATATCGTTCGTGACGATGTCGTTATATCGTTATGTCGCTAGTGTGAACCAGGCTTTATATGCTGTTATGTTTCCATTATGTCATTTTATCAGGATGTTCACACTTTAAACATAACGACATAACGTACCTCTTATGTTGTTATGTTTATGTCGTTATGTCGTTATGTCGCTACGTTGAACTAGGCTCAAGACGACATTCACTGAATTTTAAATGAAGAGAGCACATTAAAATGCTACTAATAAGCCCCACGCTCTGTGTTTGTGTCCAAAATGCTTCAAATTATGGCAGGTTTGTTTTAGCGAGAGAAGGATTTTTCGGTCCAGCATTTCTTCTTAGGGTGTTTACTACCACGGTTTTCAGGTTCCTTCCCATTTTAATAAAGGGAATTTCGTACACCGTAAACTCAAATGAAGTGACCCGTCAAAGGAAACCATTTCAGCTTTTCCATACATTTTCCTTAATGTTTACAGTGTTAACCCCCAACCAAGAGTCAGTGGAAATCAACCTTGGGAGATAATGAACAAAATCTTCCTAAAATGACTTGCTCAAGTTTGTCCGCACAGATTAAAGTGCAACGGCTATGATAAAAAACGTTCATTATACCAAAATGATCCATAGTATTCAAATATCCTTTATCAGACTTGCTGATACTTGAAATGGATGATTTATATCATTACAATAACTACAGAAATTCTCGTGCGCTCATGGGCTAATTTCTATTGTCAATAAGCGGACAGACATTTGAATTTACATTTTTTGCGATGATTTATTGTAAACAACAAATTCCCGTCAGTTTTCATGCGTCTGTCCTGTTATTGACAATGAATTTCGTCAGCATAGCCGAGTGGATCCGCAGACTACTTTGACAATGTTATGACGAAATTCCTGGTCAATAACAGGACAGACACGTGAAAAACTGACGTCAATTTGTTAAACAGCAAACTACTTCGCGACAAGTCTGTTTTACAGCCTCCCTGATCTCACATATTCGCCAGCAATACAAAAATGGATTTACAGAGGAGTTAATGAACACAATGGTTGAAGTCAGGGATCTTCCGATTGGATTAACTAAAGTCACAACGTAGAAAACAACTAAATAAGGGCTATAACAGATGATGAGTACAAGAAAAACGATGGAAGCATTGAATGCAGACTTTTTTAGGCTTGTCACTTTGTTAGCATGCCCAGTGTTTGTTTCAACCGCCAGGAACTGAAGTTGAATCGCACTTTGATGATAGCGAACCGTCCTGTATATTTTTACGTGACAAATAGTTGAGATGCACAGGCAAGCACATATTACAGTTCCAAGTGAAATCAACAGAATCTTTTCCTGACAGAAACGCGAGCTTGCTAAAATTAAAGATATTATCCAGATGGCAACAAGAACGCGTCTTACGCGAGGGATTGTCACAATACTTGGATAATGCAAGGACCTTTCAACCGCAATCAATCTGTCGACACCAATTGCTGTGACTGTACAAAGAGAAATTCCACATAAAGAGAAACCAAACGTGTTATAAACACCCTGGAATAATTGTTGGAACCTTTGGGATCGGGAATACAATCTTATTAACTCGTTTGCGATGAAAAGGGGCTGTACGACTGTGCCAACAGCCAGATCGGACATCGCCAGACCGCACAGTAAAACCAAGGACGGTGATCGAAGAGTCGGTGATTTCCTCGCCACATGCAACACCAGTGAGTTCCCAATTATCGCCGCTAAAGCGAGAGGAACATTTACAGCGCAGTTTACCAGAAAGACTTTCGTTGCGGCATCGGTCATGTTTTCCTGATTGTAGAGGTTCACGGTTTCTTGCGAAGACATGTTTAGAATCTTCTTTGTTACTTTGGTTTTTTCGTAAAGGAAACTTACTCCAAATACGACCAACGAACAGGTTTCACACCTCCAAAGACAAAGTAGTTAGAGCCAGCGGCGAGCTCGACATATGGTTTGAGAATCTGCATCAAAAAAGGACGAGCGCGACTTTTTAAAACCGGAACACCACTCAGAGAATCTCCTCGTATTCTGTACTTTGCAATGATAACGTTGTAGACAAAATCTCGTAATGTAGAAAAAACGATGATTCCGGTGGAACGGTACGAAACTGAAAGGTCGAGGGCATAGTGCGAAAGTCACGAACTAAACTGTTTGGGAAATAACATCACGGAATCAATTTGCAATAATGCTTACCCTCGCCTAGATAAAATCTTACAACGGTTTCGGTCTGAAAGATTATGATTTCACCTTGCACGGAAAGTATATTTAAATAAGCCTTCTAAAGCTCGTATAATTTTTCTTGACCAATGGAATAACATGACAGTTAGCAGATAACATCCTGTTGAGGGACAACAATCGAGAAAACGACCAAAGTACCGATGAGAAATTGATCAAGTCTTTAGGACAATGCTAAAGGAAATTAGTCATGTTTCGAAAGTGA